GAATCAGTAGTGCACGTATCGGGCGAGGACGCTAATGGTGAAACGCCGGACGATAGTTGTAGGTATCACACTTAACGTCGTAGGGTTGTGAAACTCTTGGCGCATGACCAACTGCCACCTCGCTTCTTGCTCTCAACCAATCATGTACTCCGGTGACCAGGTATCACTGCGGAACCCACTCCTGGAGTCACGTCGGTACCCACTCCAGGTGTGTCGTCGTGATTCATGTAGCGGTCGGTAGTAGCTGTAAAAGATCGGAGTCAGTGCTGCACGTAGTGGGGGAGGACGCTCATGGTAAAGCGCTGGAAAATAATACAACCATGACACCTCGCATCGGGGGCTCGTGAACGCATGGCACATGACCAACTGCCGCCTCGCTTCTTGCTCTCAACCAATCATGTACTCCGGTGACCAGGTATCACGGCGGAACCCACTCCTGGAGTCACGCCAGCACCCACCCCAGGTGTGTCGTCGTGATTCATGTAGCGGTCGGTAGTAGCTGTAGAAGATCGGAATCAGTGCTGCACGTATCGGGGGATGACGCTCATGGTAAAGCGCTGGAAAATAATACAACCATGACACTTCGCATCGGGGGCTCGTGAACGCATGGCACATGACCAACTGCCACCTCGCTTCTTGCTCTCAACCAATCATGTACTCCGGTGACCAGGTATCACGGCGGAACCCACTCCTGGAGTCACGCCAGCACCCACCCCAGGTGTGTCGTCGTGATTCGTGTAGCGGTCGGTAGTAGCTGTAGAAGATCGGAATCAGTAGTGGACGTATCGGGCGAGGACGCTAATGGTGAAACGCCGGACGATGGTTGTAGGTATCACACTTCACGTCGTAGGGTTGTGAAACTCTTGGCACATGACCAACTGCCACCTCGCGTTTTGCTCTCAACCAATCATGTACTTCGGTGACCAGGTATCACTGCGGAACCCACTCCTGGAGTCACGCCTGTACCCACCCCAGGTGTGTCGTCGTGATTCATGTAGCGGTCGGTAGTAGCTGTAGAAGATCGGAGTCAGTGCTGCACGTCGTGGGGGAGGACGCTCATGGTAAAGCGCTGGAAAATAATACAACCATGACACTTCGCATCGGGGGCTCGTGAACGCATGGCACATGACCAACTGCCGCCTCGCTTCTTGCTCTCAACCAATCATGTACTCCGGTGACCAGGTATCACGGCGGAACCCACTCCTGGAGTCACGCCAGCACCCACCCCAGGTGTGTCGTCGTGATTCATGTAGCGGTCGGTAGTAGCTGTAGAAGATCGGAATCAGCAGTGCACGTATCGGGGGAGGACGCTAATGGTGAAACGCCGGACGATAGTTGTAGGTATCACACTTAACGTCGTAGGGTTGTGAAACTCTTGGCACATGACCAACTGCCACCTCGCGTTTTGCTCTCAACCAATCATGTACTTCGGTGACCAGGTATCACGGCGGAACCCACTCCTGGAGTCACGCCAGCACCCACCCCAGGTGTGTCGTCGTGATTCATGTAGCGGTCGGTAGTAGCTGTAGAAGATCGGAGTCAGTGCTGCACGTAGTGGGGGAGGACGCTCATGGTAAAGCGCTGGAAAATAATACAACCATGACACTTCGCATCGGGGGCTCGTGAACGCATGGCACATGACCAACTGCCGCCTCGCTTCTTGCTCTCAACCAATCATGTACTCCGGTGACCAGGTATCACGGCGGAACCCCACTCCTGGAGTCACGCCAGCACCCACCCCAGGTGTGTCGTCGTGATTCATGTAGCGGTCGGTAGTAGCTGTAGAAGATCGGAGTCAGTGCTGCACGTAGTGAGGGAGGACGCTCATGGTAAAGCGCTGGAAAATAATACAACCATGACACCTCGCATCGGGGGCTCGTGAACGCATGGCACATGACCAACTGCCGCCTCGCTTCTTGCTCTCAACCGATCATGTACTCCGGTGACCAGGTATCACTGCGGAACCCACTCCTGGAGTCACGCCAGCACCCACCCCAGGTGTGTCGTCGTGATTCATGTAGCGGTCGGTAGTAGATGTAGAACATCGGAATCAGTAGTCCACCTATCGGGCGAGGACGCTAATGGTGAAACGCCGGACGATAGTTGTAGGTATCACGCTTCACGTCGTAGGGTTGTGAAACTCTTGGCACATGACCAACTGCCACCTCGCTTCTTGCTCTCAACCAATCATGTACTTCGGTGACCAGGTATCACGGCGGAACCCACTCCTGGAGTCACGCCAGCACCCACCCCAGGTGTGTCGTCGTGATTCATGTAGCGGTCGGTAGTAGCTGTAGGAGATCGGAATCAGTAGTGCACGTATCGGGCGAGGACGCTAATGGTGAAACGCCGGACGATAGTTGTAGGTATCACACTTAACGTCGTAGGGTTGTGAAACTCTTGGCACATAACCAACTGCCACCTCGCGTTTTGCTCTCAACCAATCATGTACTTCGGTGACCAGGTATCACTGCGGAACCCACTCCTGGAGTCACGCCAGCACCCACCTGTCGTCGTGATTCATGTAGCGGTCGGTAGTAGCTGTAGAAGATCGGAGTCAGTGCTGCACGTCGTGGGGGATGACGCTCATGGTAAAGCGCTGGAAAATAATACAACCATGACACTTCGCATCGGGGGCTCGTGAACGCATGGCACATAACCAACTGCCGCCTCGCTTCTTGCTCTCAACCAATCATGTACTCCGGTGACCAGGTATCACGGCGGAACCCACTCCTGGAGTCACGCCAGCACCCACCCCAGGTGTGTCGTCGTGATTCATGTAGCGGTCGGTAGTAGCTGTAGGAGATCGGAATCAGTAGTGCACCTATCGGGGGATGACGCTAATGGTGAAACGCCGGACGATAGTTGTAGGTATCACGCTTCACGTCGTAGGGTTGTAAACTCTTGGAACATGACCAACTGCCATCTCACTTCTTGCTCTCCAACCAATCATGTACTTCGGTGACCAGGTATCACGGCGGAACCCACTCCTGGAGTCACGCCAGCACCCACCCCAGGTGTGTCGTCGTGATTCATGTAGCGGTCGGTAGTAGCTGTAGAAGATCGGAATCAGTGCTGCACGTCGTGGGGGATGACGCTCATGGTAAAGCGCTGGAAAATAATACAACCATGACACCTCGCATCGGGGGCTCGTGAACGCATGGCACATGACCAACTGCCACCTCGCTTCTTGCTCTCAACCGATCATGTACTCCGGTGACCAGGTATCACGGCGGAACCCACTCCTGGAGTCACGCCAGCACCCACCCCAGGTGTGTCGTCGTGATTCATGTAGCGGTCGGTAGTAGCTGTAGAAGATCGGAATCAGTAGTGGACGTATCGGGCGAGGACGCTAATGGTGAAACGCCGGACGATAGTTGTAGGTATCACACTTCACGTCGTAGGGTTGTGAAACTCTTGGCACATGACCAACTGCCACCTCGCTTCTTGCTCTCAACCAATCATGTACTTCGGTGACCAGGTATCACGGCGGAACCCACTCCTGGAGTCACGCCAGCACCCACCCCAGGTGTGTCGTCGTGATTCATGTAGCGGTCGGTAGTAGCTGTAGAAGATCGGAATCAGTGCTGCACGTAGTGGGGGAGGACGCTCATGGTAAAGCGCTGGACAATAATACAACCATGACACTTCGCATCGGGGGCCCGTGAACGCATGGCACATGACCAACTGCCGCCTCGCTTCTTGCTCTCAACCAATCATGTACTCCGGTGACCAGGTATCACGGCGGAACCCACTCCTGGAGTCACGCCAGCACCCACCCCAGGTGTGTCGTCGTGATTCATGTAGCGGTCGGTAGTAGCTGTAGAAGATCGGAATCAGTGCTGTACGTATCGGGGGATGACGCTCATGGTAAAGCGCTGGACATTAATACAACCATGACACTTCGCATCGGGGGCTCGTGAACGCATGGCACATGACCAACTGCCGCCTCGCTTCTTGCTCTCAACCAATCATGTACTCCGGTGACCAGGTATCACGGCGGAACCCACTCCTGGAGTCACCCCAGCACCCACCCCAGGTGTGTCGTCGTGATTCATGTAGCGGTCGGTAGTAGCTGTAGAACATCGGAATCAGTAGTGCACGTATCGGGCGAGGACGCTAATGGTGAAATCCCGTACGATAGTTGTAGGGTGACGCCCAACGTGGTAGGTTTGTGAAATCCTTCTACCGTGACCAAATGCGACCCTGCTTTTGCTCTCTACCTGTCATTTTCTCCGGTGACCAGGTATCACTGCGGAGCCCACTCCTGGAGTCACGCCAGCACCCACCCCAGGTGTGTCGCCGTAATTCACGTTTCGGGCGTTAGGAGTTGTAGAAGATCGGAGTCAGTGTTGCACGTACTGGGCGAGGACGCTAATGGCGAAGCACCTGACGATAGTGGTGAAGATCACCTTGGTGAACGCGGTAGCGTCGTGCAACCCTGGGCATATGACCAATTGCCACCTAGCTTCTTGCTTTCAACCAATCATGTACTCTGGTGACCAGGTATCACGCCGGCACCCACCGCAGGTGTGTCGTCATGGTTCGTGTGGCGGGTGGTAGTAGCTTTAGAATATCGGAATCAATGTTGGACATATCCGGGGAGGACGCTAATGGTGAAGCGCCTGACGATGGTTGAAATGATCACGGTTAACGTGGTAGGGTCGTGAAAGCCTTCGCGCATGACCAAATACCACCCGCTTCCTGGTCTCAACCAATCACGTTCATTGCTGACCAGGTACCACGACGGAACCCACCCCGGAAGTCACGCCAGCACCCACCCCAGGTGTGTCGTCGAAGTTCATGTGGCTGTCGATAGTAGCTGTAGAATGTTGGAGTTAGGGTAGGACGTGTCCGCAGGGAACGCTAATGGTGAAGTTCCTGGTAATAGGAGTGCAGATTGTGTTTAGCGTCGCTGTGTTGTGAAATCCTTCGCAAATGACCAAATGCCACCTCTCTTCTTACTCTCCACCGGTTGCGGTTTTCGGTGAGCAGGCCTCATGGCAGAACCCACACCTGGATCCACGCCAGCACCCACCCCAGGTGTGCCGTCGTGGTTCATGTGGCGGGCGGTAGTAGCTGTAGAACATCGGAATCAGTGTTTACAGGTGTCTGACAAGGAAGCTGATGTTGTACTGTCTGAAATAAGCTGTGTAGCTCTTGTTGAGCGTACTAGTGTTGCCAAACCCGTCGAAAATGACGAACTCCGACTTCGCTTCTTGCTCAATACCACCTATGTGTATCGGTGCCCAGGCACCACGGCGGAACCCACTCCGGGAGCCACGCCAGGGTCTACCCCAGGTGAGTCGTCGTAGTCTATGTGGCGAACGGTAGTAGCTAGAACATCGGCATCAGTATAGGACGTGTCCGGCAAGGAAGCCAATGTTGCAGTGGCTCACTATATGTAATGGTGGAGCTCTTGGTTACAGATCACAAACGCCAATTCTAGCGTGTGTGAAGATTATGGTGATTCCTACTGCTGCCCGATCCCACCTGTATTCCTGACGCCATCAGAACCAGTCGCCCCCATGCTAAGTAAACCACCTCCCAACAACCGATCTCTCAGACGTTCACAGCAGCCAGGCTATCTCTTGGATCTACCATTGAATATGCTCTCACACCTACTGTCGGGCGAACACTCTGCCGCACTGTTGAGCAAATTCTCCCGACCACCGCAGACGAAACTCTCTCGCACAGCGCAGGACTGCATCATCTATGGCTGGCATGCTGCCGATTGGTTTGACAATGGCGTATCGTAACCGTCTGCCTCACCTTACTTTGTCCACCGTGTGTTGTGATTCATCGACAGTGCTGTCTCCGGCTCCAAGCCCCGGAATACTATCAACGACCGCACCAGAAGGTGAGATGTTGATGTTACGGTCACTCATATGCGTATGTCGCTATATCTTACCTCACTCGCCGTACTCCGTACCGTAGGAAACAACGTAGTGCCAAGGTATCGGCTTGGCTACATGAGTCATCGCACCGCACGATGGACACCAATTGCTGTGACCCGATTTATACCTCTGGTAGGTGATGTTAGTGGTGACCTGGTTCCGTGTGCCACGTCCGTGCCACGAGCTCGAGTACAAAATCATTACTTCACGTATTCCAGCCACGGTGGTCGTACCAACGAACTCAGTCGGACATCCTCTGGCCTTTCGTTTGCTGCACCATAGGGTTTGGACCTCTTGCTAATGTTGCTGCTTCGCTGTGTTCGGTGTGGCGATGGTGGTTGTCGTTCCAGAACCCACCGCAATTCCCACGCCATCGGAAACCGTCCTTCCAACGCTAGAGCAAGGCACCCCTGGACCAACGATGCCTGCTACTTGGCCGAGAACCGTGCCGCCAACGGCCGGCTTGACGCTTGCGCCCACTCCCGATCAAACTTTGACATCCACTGTTGGGCAAACGCTCCTGTCTACTGTGGAGCAAACTCTCCCGCCTGTAGAGCATTCTCTTCCGCCTTCGCTGAAGCAAAATCTCCTGCCTACCGTCGATCACACTGTCCCACCCAAGCTTGGACAAGCGCTTCCGCCTTTTGTCGAGCAAACGCTTTCGCCTACCGTTGATCGAACTATAACCCCTACCGTTGAGCAAATGCTATTGCAATCTGTTCAGCAAACTCTCTCGCCTACTGTCGACCAAACCCGACACCCACCGTTGAGCAAACGCTCCTGCCTACTATTGGGCAAACCCTCGTTCCTACCGTTGGGCAAACGTTCCCACTTGCTATTTTGCGGACCCTTTTCGCCCAACGTTTAGCAAACGCTGCCGCCCACTGTTGGGACAACACTTCCGCCTACCGTTAAGCAAGCTCTTCCGCCTACCGTTGGTCAAACTGTCACACCCACTGTCGAACAAACTGTTTCGCCAACCGTTGGACAAACGCTCCCGCCTACTGTTGCGACAACTCTTCCGCCTACTGTTAGGTGAACGTTCCCGCCTACCATTGATCAAACTATCACACCTACCGTTGAAAAAATGGTTCTTCCTACTGTTGAACGAACTCTTCCGCCTACCGTTGGGCAAACGCTCCCGTCTACTATTGATCAAACCTTCAGACCCACCGTTGGACAAACGCTCTCGTCCACTGTTGAACAAACTGTGCCGCCTACCGTTACAACCTTAAGCAAACTCCTCTGCCTACCTTTGATCAAACTCTCATACCCACCGTTGGGCAAACGCTCCCACCTACTATGGAGCAAACGCTCCCGCCTACCGTAACCCAATTCCCAAACCCACTGCCGCCCAAACTCTTACTCCCACTGTTCAACAGTCGCTACTGCCTACACCAGAGCTAACTCTCTCACCCACCGCAGAGCAAACGCTTTCGCGCACCACTGAACAAACCGTCCCACCCTCTCTAAGACCCATTTCTATCCCCACCCTCGAGACAACCCAAACACGTACCCTACAGCAAACGGCACCGCCATCTACATTCAGTGCTGAAGGTGAAAGGCCAATCGCTCCGTTGCTCGCAACGGCAGAATTCGGATATGCATGTGGGGTGGGTATTGCCCGTACGGCCCGTGTTCGGCCATGGCGTGTTTCGCCGTGCACCAGTCTGAGTTGATGAAGCTGTTGTACTGGAAATGTCTATCGCTAGGATGTTGTCGATTGGTTGACAATGGCGTATCGTAACCGTTTGCCTCGCCTCACTTTGTCATCTTGCGTGTCTCATCAACAGTCCTGTCTCCGGCTCCAAGCCCCGGCATACTATCAACGACCGCACCAGAAGGTGATATTTCGATGTTCACTTCGGTGCGCATGTCGCTCAATCTTGCATCACCGCACAGGCCGTACTCCGTACCGTAGGAAACAACGCAGCACCAACGTATCGGCTTGGCCACATGTAGCGTCGCACCGCGCGATGGACACCAACTCCTGTGACTCGATTTACCTTTGGTAGGCCGATGTTATTGGTAACTTGGCTCGGTGTGCCACGTGCAACGAGATCGAGTTCGAAATCACTCCTCCGCGTATTCCAGCCAGGCTGGTCGTGCCAACGACCGTAGTCGGACACGCTCTGGCCTTAGTGTTTGCTGCAGTAGGGTTTTGACCTCTTGCTAACGTTGCTTCTTTGCTGTTTTGGGTGGCACGGTCACACGGCGCCTGCAAATGTTGTTTTGTCACCAACAACAACGACGTCGACGATGGGTGCCGTTCCAGATTCCACCGCATTCCCTACACCATCGGATATCGCCCTTCCCACGCTAGAGCAATCTACGCCTGGACCAACGATGCGCGCTATTTTTCCGGAAACCGTACCGCCAACGACCAACACAACACTGGGGCCAAATCCTGATCAAACGCTCGCTCCCACCGTTGGGCAAACGCTCCCGCCTACCGTTGACCAAACTCTCCTTCCTACCGTGGATCAAACTCTAACACCCACTGTTGGGCAAACACTCCCGCCCACCGTTGACCAAACTGTCACACCCACCACCGAGCAAACGCTCCCGCCTACCATTCAACAAACTCTGTTGCCTACCTCAGAGCAAACGCTCCCGTCCACCGTTGAGCAAACGATCACACCCACCGTTGTGCAAACTCTATCGTCCACCGCAGAGCAAACGCTCCCGTCCACCGTTGACCAAACTGTCACACCCACCGCCGAGCAAACTCTGTCGGTCACCGCAAAGCAAACACTTCCGTCCACCGTTGAGCAATCCGTCACACCCACCGTTGAGCAAACTCTGCCGTCTACCATTGAGCAAACTCTGCCGCCCACCGCAGAGCAAACGCTCCCGTCCACCGTCGAGCAATCCGTCACACCCACAGCTGGGCAAACTCTGTCGCCCACCGTTCAGCAAACGCTCCCGTCCACCGTTGAGCAAACGATCACACCCACCACCGAGCAAACGATCACACCCACCGTTGAGCAAACGATCACACCCACCATTGAGCAAACGCTCACGTCCACCGTTGAGCAAATCCTCCCGCCTACCTTTGAACAAACTCTGCCGCCCACCGCAGAGCAAACACTCCCGTCCACAATTCACCAATCTGTCACACCCACCACCGAGCAAACGCTCCCGCCTACCATTCAACCAACTGCGCCGCCCACCGTTGAGCAAACGTCGTCGCCCACCATTGAGCAAACGCTCCCGCCTACCTTTGAGCAAACTCTACCGCCCACCACCGAGCAAACCCTCCCACCCACCATTGAACAAACTCTGCCGCCCACCGCAGAGCAAACTCTCCCGTCCACCGCTGAGCAAGCTGTCACACCCACCACCGAGCAAACGCTCCCACCTACCGTTGAACAAACTCTGCCGCCCACCGCAGAGCAAACGCTCCCGTCCACCGTTGACCAAACTGTCACACCCACCGCGGAGCAAACTCTGTCGGTCACCGCAAAGCAAACACTTCCGTCCACCGTTGAGCAATCCGTCACACCCACAGCTGAGCAAACCCTCCCGCCTACCATTGAGCAAACTCTGCCGCCCACCGCAGAGCACACGCTTCCGTCCACCGCTGAGCAATCTGCCACACCCACCGCCGAGCAAACTCTGTCGCCCACCGTTGAGCAAACGCTCCCGTCCACCGTTGAGCAAACGATCACACCCACCGTTGAGCAAACGATCACACCCACCGTTGAGCAAACGCTCACGTCCACCGTTGAGCAAATCCTCCCGCCTACCTTTGAACAAACTCTGCCGCCCACCGCAGAGCAAACACTCCCGTCCACAATTCACCAATCTGTCACACCCACCACCGAGCAAACGCTCCCGCCTACCATTCAACCAACTGCGCCGCCCACCGTTGAGCAAACGTCGTCGCCCACCATTGAGCAAACGCTCCCGCCTACCATTGAGCAAACTCTACCGCCCACCGCAGAGCAAACCCTCCCACCCACCATTGAACAAACTCTGCCGCCCACCGCAGAGCAAACTCTCCCGTCCACCGCTGAGAAAACTGTCACACCCACCACCGAGCAAACGCTCCCACCCACCGTTGAACAAACTCTGCCGCCCACCGCAGAGCAAACTCTGTCGTTCACCGTTGACCAAACTGTCACACCCACCGCTGAGCAAACTCTGTCGTCCACCGCAGAGCAAACGCTTCCGTCCACCGTTGACCAAACCCTCCCACCTACCGTTGAACAAACTCTCGCGGCCCACCACCGAGCAAACGCCCCTATCCACCGTTGAGCAAACTCTGTCGTCCACCGCAGAGCAAACGCTCCCGTCTACCTTTGAGCAAACTCTGCCGTCCACGGCGGAGCAAACCCGCCTGCCTACCATTGAACAAACTCTGCCGCCCACCGCCGAGCAAACGCTCGCGTCCACCGTTGAGCAAACTGTCACACCCACCGCAGAGCAAACGCTCCCGTCTACCGTTGAGCAAACGCTCTCGCCTACCGTTGAGCAAACTCTGCCGCCCACCGTTGAGCAAACTGTCACACCCACCGTTGAGCAAACTCTGCCGCCCACCGCAGAGCAAACTCTCCCGTCCACCGCTGAGAAAACTGTCACACCCACCACCGAGCAAACGCTCCCACCCACCGTTGAACAAACTCTGCCGCCCACCGCAGAACAAACGCTCCCGTCCACCGTTGACCAAACTGTCACACCCACAGCCGAGAAAACTCTGTCGTCCACCGCAGAGCAAACTGTGCCGCCCGCCGTTCAGCAAACCCCATCGTCCACCGTTGAGCAAACCCTCTCGCCCACCATTGAGCAAACTCTGCCGCCCACCGCAGAGCAAACCCTCCCGTCCACCGTTGAGCAAACTGTCACACCCACCGCCGAGCAAACTCTGTCGTCCACCGCCGAACAAACGCTTCCGTCCACCGTTGAGCAAACTGTCACAC